TAATGTTAGTTAAACTTCTAAGATTTAAAAGTTTTTAATTTTTAGTTTTATTTCACTTTTAAAGAGAAAGGATAGTATGATAAAATTGACAAAAAACGGAGTTCATAATAAATAAGTTTTCTTGATGGACTTAAGTCTAAATAAGTCCATATAGAGGGACTGACCTTCAAATTTTTCAAGAAAAAAAAAAAGAAAAGGTAAGTAAGCCCAATCCAAGAGAAAAAAAAAGGGTCAACAAAAGGGGGCGGCGCCCAATTAGCCCAAAAAAAAAAAAAATCTGTCAATACAGCGGAGTTCTGAAGACGAGGAAGATTTCGACTCATTCCGATGAAGATGAAGCACATGCCCGCGATCCTTTCCTTTCCAAAAAGGCATAGACTTGGGGTATAGGGGGCAAATGACGAATCCGAATTTTACTAGGTCAAACCAAATAAAAATAAGTCGAGAAAGCCCAAAGAAAAGTCCAAGAATAGATGAACCGACCAAGGAGTCAAGTGGAAGTCCAAAATAGAAATCAAGCCCTTCCTCAAAAGGGGCGCCACCCAAGGGACCAAATGGGCGCCGCCCAGGGTGCCCAAGGGGCGCCACCCATGAAGACTCCAAGTGGGCGCCGCCTATATGGCCTAAAGTGGGTGATGTCCTCACTTCACTCCAATGCAAGTCCAAAATCACTTCAAGTCTAAGCCCAAAGTCAAGTACGAGTTTATTCTAGTTCAAGACTCTCCTTTGAAGAAATAGGAGCACGAGGGAGAAAACATCGGGATAGGCACGGAGATCTCCTACCATAGCTGTACTTACTAACACAGTAGAAGTCTTACTCCTCACGTTATCGTCTCACCGCCTCATCACACCTATATAATGTAAGTCCGCTCCACATAGAGGGCATGCTCTCATAGTCTTGAGATCTCTACACATATTACACCTTCCTACGCACATTATTCTATCTCTCTCAAAGCATTGTATTTCTCCCAGAGTGTTCTCCTGGCAACATTATTCATTAATAAAGATCTCGGGTCACCGCTATCGCTCCCGAGATTGGAGTAGGTCACTCAGACTGAACCACTATAAATCTCTATGTTAGCTCTATTATTTATCGTTTTACCATTAATTGTTTGTTTACTGTTCATTGATTGTTTCTATTCATATTCTTGATTGTTGATCTTGCACGAGACCTACTTGTGGATTATCAGCAAGTACCAAAGACTTACCAATAATAACAAATTGTCATTTTATAAAGTATTACGTAGTGTAAGAAATTTTCCGAGTCAGTCAAATCATCCAACTTTGTTGACGGTAAGCAACGGATGATAGCCTTCTCACCATTTATTCATTTCCATGGATGTGATGGAATCTATATTGAATCCATATCCATCTCAGATGATAGTTTCTTCTTTGTACTTTAATCCAAATTGTCTCATTGTTGATAACGATATCACATTATGCACCTCTTATACAGTTCCTGTGATCGAAATAACGATGTTCTTCACCAAATCTAGCCTACGAAGTTTAGTGTTTTCAAAAAATCTATCTGCGTGTGGAATAGAAGTTTTTCCGGACATGGTTTGGTGTGAAAAACAAAATATACCTTCCACAACATCTCCGCAATGAAAAATACCAAAGCTGCATGGAAGAAATGAAGTAGAATTTATCATCTTTGTAGGTAACGTGGTGAATTGTCCGAGACTAAATCTCCCATTATAGTCATATCTCAACCACAATCCACGAGAAAGCAGGTGGAACTCTTAATGTCCTCGACTGTGTTTACCAATGCAATCTGAAGATGTTGGAATTATCGTGGACTACGAAGAGGGGCAAAAGAACCAATTGAATTTCCACTGGTTGGATGCTGAACATGATCCTCCAATGAGTTCTGATATATCAATCGAATACCTTTTATTAAATTTAATATAAATTGGGGTCTAAAGTAAAATGTTCATGTTTAGCATGATAATACTAAATATATTATATGATTATTAGTCATTTTACAAAGAACTACAATTTAGTTCCAATTTCTTAGTGGTTTTGGATGAATTGATCTTCGTGGTTTTGGATGGATCAAACTATAAAATGATTGAAAATTGTGAAATTAGGATCATACAAATGAATAAATTAATTGAAGTCTTAAAAAGGAAGTGAAAATGTGAGAGAATTAGAGATGATGACAAATAGCCAAAGTAAGACAGTGAGAATGGAAGAGAAAGAAAGACGGAGAAAAGCAATGAGAGTGAATGGAAATAGAATGAAAGAAGGTCTTCATAGAAAGACTTTACAATTACAATTTAGATTAAGAAGGTTCCAACAACTACGTGCAAGTATAGTGTAGTATAGTACAGAACAACACATTCCTCAAATCAATAGTTCAAAAACTCAAATAAAACAACAATTAACGAAAACAACCCTGAAAACGTGTAATATAACTCAAAAAATCATGTGTCAAATATGTGTCAGCAACCCCAAGCACGGAGAGAGTTGCGAGACTGAAAACTCCGTGCATAAGAAAGGGATAATTGGATAGGTAAGGGGCCATCATAAAATTAGTTCAAATAATATAGATGCCCAAAGTATTTTTATACTTTTACACCTATAACTTTATTTTATCATAATTGTATCCTTATATATTAAACAATATAACAATCAACCCCTCTCATAAAGATCCCTCTTTAAAACTAGAAAAGTCTCAACGTCAATGTCACATTATCGAAGGCAAATTTCAATAATATTTGACCACTATAAATTATGATAATTATAGGGACACTAATCATTTTTTTAAAACATCACTGCACACTTTTAAGTACTTTTATACTAAAACATACTTTTAATACAACCAGAGGCGACTTTACTTTAACGATTAAGTTACAACTTTTAATAAATAAGTTATAACTCTTGGGGTTATTTGATCAATTATAAATGTCATGATAGATTATAAATCTTTTTTTTTTTTCTTTTTCACCCTGGGCTAGCGATGGATGGAGCATCGCCCATCGTGATAGATTATAAATATTGTAATAGATCATAAAATATTATGACGATCACGAATAACCTTTAAAATGTTTACACTTATCTTTGAAACATGTATTTTTTATGATCAATCATTTTTGAGTTATAACTCGAATTTGAAAAGTTGTAACTTAGCCTAAATTATTTTATCTTTCATCATGGTATCTCATTTGATACCATTAGGATAGTAACATTAGAAATATTTAATCTATCACATCATTATGCCACCAAAAAACATTATATTTTAAAAAATAGAAGGAATTTTTTCAATAAATTCCTTTTATAAGTTTGAATGTCAAGCAAGCATGACTAATTAGAATTTAATCAACAAATCATAAATTTGGAGGAGAAGAAAATGCATGCACACATTATATAAAAGATCTGATTTTTTTTTTTTTAAATTTTCTATAGTTGTCTTGAATTTCTTATGGAATGACACTTCTATATTTGAATTCTAGAGTTAATGGCAATTGATTAAATTATTTTTGATTGACCTCTGGAAATTCAAGTGTGCGTACTTTGTAATGGATTAAACTTTTCTTTCATATTCTTATAACTAAATGTTTCTATATTTAAAATTTGGCTATCTATAAATCATATTTGAAATAACATAAATTGATTAATTGATTTTCTAGTATTGACATATCAACATATTTGTGATAAATTGAATAACCTTAACATTTTTAATCAAAAAATAAATAAAATTAACATTATGATTTTAATATAACAATTAGTTATAATTTATCCCCACTACACATAAACCCTGATTTCGCCCCTAAATACAACGATAGGATTTTCATAGAAAATCCATGTTGGGTTGTATGTTATTTTTTTTCCCCAAATGGTAGAATTGGTCCGTTAATTAAGATTGGCTATTATTTGTAAAGGGCTAATGACTCTTTATAACCTAAAAGATATTTGTATTCTCAATTAACACTTTTTAAAAAAAAAGGGAATTAACAATTAAAAGATTAAATTTTTTTATATGATACCATCAGTCGAACATAAAGTTAGCACTGTTATCTATTTTAAGAAAATTGAGTACTAAATCTCTAGTAAAAATACTTAAAATTGAGTATTATGCAAATTTTTGTATAAAAATAGAATAATATGATAAATACTATAAAAAATTTGAGAAAAAACAACTAACATTTACTTTTAGACTATTTGATTACTTTTTTTTTTATTTAGATGAGAGTGTAATGTGAATTTTTTAAGGTGTAAAGTGTCATTCAACCTTTTTAAAAATCTAAGAGACAATCTCAATTTGAATTCGGAAAAATTTATTAATTTTTAATTTATATCTTTGAAGATTAAATTTTTTATATTGTATACTCAATGCATTAAAAGTGTTGTAAATGCAAACCTTCCGTTAATTTTTATTTCTTATTTCATCAAAATAATTTCATTGACATTGACGAAATGAGTAATTGAAACTAACTAAAAGACCAAATTTTAACAATTTATATAATAAAACACATACCAATTTAAAATTTTATCTTATATATATTTTTTTCCCTTAAGAATATCAGATCACTCATTTATATTATATGTTTAATTATTTAATATTTGATTAATTTATAATTTAACATAATTTTTATTTCAAATATTATTTATCTACGATAATATACGTATGTTGAAAAAAATTTAATATAGTGGAATCGATTTTTTGAGCGTTCGAATTTTATGTTCTATCGTGCTTTCAGGTACGAATCATGATTAGTTTTAATATATTATGGATGTAGTATAAAAATCTAATATTTAAAGACATGAAGTGATAATTATTAAATGTTTTAGGGTACAAAGTGAAATTCAGCCAAAATCTAAACGACAGTTTGACCTTGTTTCTTCATTGTCCAGCCAGGCGTCCACGAACCTTGGAACTTGTTTCTTCATTGTTTCTTCATCGCTCGTTTTTTTCTTTGTTAGTTATATATGCACTCTTCAACGGTTTAATTCAATCCTCTAATGGCAGAGTAAACAGAAAGCTGATGAAATAACAAATGGGTGGCGATTCGACCCCCGGGAAACATTCTCCTTCAGGTTCTCTCTTTTTTCTCAGTGAGATGAATTTTCTTCTTTCTTTTTTGTGGATCTTCTAGTCATTTTTTTTCCGTTTCCTGTGATTTTTCTCTTTTAAATTCGTTCGATTATGCTATGAATCTTGAAAATTTGAATCAAATGTTCTAATTTTTTATTAGGGATAGATAGAATGTCTTCAATCTTGACAGATTTGAGTGTATTATGTTCTTGTGTTTATTTTATTTTATTTTTGCTGATCTGATGTGTGTATTGAATTGATTAGGGTCTGTGAGAATGATCGAGAAGCAGAATTTGTGGGTTTCGCCATCCTATGTTATGAATCATTTTGGAACCAGTGGAGTTTCCGTTGCTACTGCGACTGGCATTACTCACCCTTTAGGTTCCTCTCTCTCTCTCTCTCCTGTGTCTTCTCTTCCTCATTTGGCAGATATTAGCTTCTTAGTTATCACCGTCAAACAATCATCTACTCTAAAAGACTAGGAGAGGGCGTAACTTAAAGTATTTATACTTCAACTTGTCTCTCACGCTAGATTTTGGGCTTAGTACATAAAAATCTTTCTAATTATTAGGGCGGTGGTAAAATTCCAACATAGGACGACTTAAACTAAGAGGGTGTAATTTAAATATTTATATTTCAACAATCACAATTCCTTCAGAAGCTAGGTTGTTTAATTGCTCCTATTAACTATTGTCATTTAAGATAAGGAAACCACTGGGCAGGACTTTGGTTTTGAGAGGGACAAAATGGGTGGTACTAACTGACTCACCAGGCATCTTGATGCACTATATGGGTAAACCTGAAAGTCCAGTCCCTGAACATTTTCTTGACCTTTCCATTCTTTTTCCGGGTGATGCAATGGTAGTCACACCAAAATCGGATTTCAACACAAGGACTTTCAAGATGACATGAGCAAAGAAGCCTAAGCTGTGGCTGAATCCCTGCCCAAGTAGTGATTTTATGGACTGCTTTTATCCTGTTTCTTGGCATCATGCAGTTATTTAATTGGTTTTGGTGATTGTGTTGAATAAGGTTTATGGTTAAGATCAAGAATACTAAGAATACTGCAATCTCGGTCTCCCTTGGCGCTATAATCTCATATAAGGAAAAAGAGGAGCGAGACCTAAGAGTTTATATGAAGTTAAAATGACACTAGAAGATGTAGAAAGCATTCATGAACTAAAGAAGGACAAGTAGAATGAAAGTTCTGATGATGTGGTTGGGTTGCAGACTCTCATGGAATGTCTGTTCTATTTCTATTTGTGATAAGTGTTCAGATGAGTGGACTTTTTTGTTGGGCTGCTCCAATCACTTGTCTCACCAGGGACTGCGTTGCCATCTACAAGTTTATAGATGGCAATACATTCTTAATGGTAACATTGTGCCCTTTAAGACTGTGGATATAGGCACAATTCTAGTGAATATGCATGATGAGGTTGGGAGGGGGAAGGATTTTTATAATATTTTAAGGGCTACTGGTGGAGCAAAATGCCTATAGGACATTCTCTGGCGCCATGTTGAAGATTGCCATCTGTTTCTTTTTGCTTTCCTTTTTGGGAGAAGAGGGGTAGGGGTGGGTTTTTTTTTTGTGTGTGTGGGGGGGGGGGGTGTGCTTTACTAGTAAAATGCTTTTTGGTTTCTACTTCTACAGTCCATATTCAAAATTCATAGGATCGACAGATAAAAATTGAGGAAGCAATTAGAAACTGAAGTATAAGTAGAACTGCAGTCCATATTCAAGATTCATAGAGTCTACAGATAAAAATTGACAAAGCAATTAGAATTGGAGTTGATGAAGTCCTGTCTTCAGAAATTCGTTTTAGATTTTTGTTAAAAAAAAATTGGGTGACCTGCAGTCAAATTTTTGTATTTTCGATAGGGAATTCATAAAGAGATTACTGAAAATTTGAAAATACAAATTCTAGAGGAAATAGATTCTATTTGGTTGAATCAGGAGATATGATCTATATCATTTTTGGAATGCAGATGTTCTCAAAGTTAGGCTGCAGATGCAACTTGTTGGTCAGAGGGGTCCATTAACTGGGTTGGTATGACATGAACATTGATTTTTATCAGGATATTCCAGTTTATCAGATCCACTTGGAGCTATGTTATCTCATAAGTGGATGCATACAGGGAGGACTTTTTCTTCAAGTTGTGAAAAATGAAGGTCCTAGGTCACTGTATTTGGGATTGGCACCTGCATTGATGAGGTCAGTGTTTTATGGAGGTCTCCGCTTAGGCTTGTATGAACCGTCAAAATATGTATGTGAATTGGCTTTTGAGTCCACCAATATCTTGGTGAAGATTGCGTCTGGAGCATTCTCTGGTTCCCTTGCCACTGCACTGACCAACCCTATGGAAGTTCTAAAGGTAAAATGATATAAAGGCTTTTTGTATATTATAAACCTTTTCCAATGCGATCTTTTCTTTTCTTTTCTTTTTTTTCAGGTGAGGTTACAGATGAATCCAAACTCTAGCAGAGGACCACTTGGTGAAATGCGGAAAATAACTTCAAAGGAGGGAATAACTGCTCTTTGGAAGGGGGTTGGCCCTGCTATGGCTAGAGCTGCTGCTTTGACTGCATCACAGCTGGCAACATATGACGAATCCAAGCAGGTCAAGTTCTGAGCATATTTTTCAATTTAAATATCCACAGATTCTGAATAGTTTGACTGCTAATTTCTAATCTTTATGGGTTATATTTTGTATTATCAGTTTGTTATCTGCTAAATGATCTTAATTAGCTTTGCACTGGTGCAGGTTTTGACAATGTGGACACCTCTTGAAGAAGGATTTTATCTGCACTTAACGTATGCATAGTTTCTATGTTTCCTTTATCTTTTGGATATTTAAGCAATGTGCATTGAATAATCTTGTATGCAATAGCTACTTTAATGTTCCTTTCTGTTAAATCATTAAATCTGGAATTTGGAAAAAAAAAATGTTTCACTCAACAAAATACGCACCCGCTTTGACTTCTGTTTCTAAATTAAGAAGAATGCCAGGCCCCTTTCTTCATATCGTAACTGTACTTTTTTCCTTATGAAGCGCAAGTACAATTGCAGGCGCAGTAAGCACCATTATAACAGCACCCATCGACATGATTAAAACACGTCTCATGTTGCAGCAAGAATCAAGAAGCCTTGGAGCCTATAAGAATGGATTCCATTGCGCGTACCAGGTAGCAATGTTGCTTTTGTTTGGTCGTTGCAACTGATTAATTTTTTGACTTTCTATGGTCAATAATATTGTTTGAGTTTTACTAGTTTACTTAAAATTATGCGGTTCTGTCCTCACTTGGATTTGCTTTCAAGCAAGGCTTATTCATGAAACAGATGAGGGTAAGTTTGCTCTGTAATTACCAGGGAAAAAAAAAGTTTGCTCTATAAGTAGTACGAGTTTTTGAATGGAAGTTCACAGCCTGCCAAAAAGGGAAAAGAAACGAAGAAAATGATGGCTTGAGTTTGACAGGGTGAAATGTTGGCCATAAATTTGTGCACCAGGCTGCTTTTGGCGTAATTTGTTTAATTTCTTGTAATGTTTGACTTCAGGTCCTGCTTAAAGAAGGTCCCAAAGGACTTTACAAAGGGTGAGATGCTACACATGCCCTCTTATTATTGCTTCTCACTTGTATATTTCTATATGACAGTTGTTCTCCAGTTGAGAAATAAGCGGTTAGTTTGGCTCAATATGTTTATTGCCATTTTCTGGGGTGCTGATTAATTTTTTGGCCAGGGGTTTTGCAATGTTTGCAAGATTGGGTCCACAGACTACAATCACCTTCATACTCTGTGAGAAGCTGCGGGAGCTTGCTGGATTGAAAGCAATCTAGTCCATGGGATTGTCTTCCTGCTGGTTTCCTGGTTCTCCATATAAGTCGTTGTCATTCATGCCAATCAGCTGCTGACATTGATAACAAACCCAATTGGGAGAATTGAAAATTTTCCCTGTTAGTAAAAGGAATTGATTTGAGTACAGCCTTTTCTGTCATTTTTTTAGGTGATGCTATATTCATTTACATGGATGCGCACCAGAATTTCGTGTGGTTCCAGTGGGCATTGTTTTACACAGGTCACCCGTCATCAACAGGGTCCAATAATTCTGTCGAATTGTTGTAATGATATCTTTGGTTCATCGTCTCTTTTACTTTGGAGCTTGGCTATAACTTATAGGGCGCCATTTTTGTGGTGGTTTTTTTTTGCCGTCGGTGTTACATCATGACAGAGATCATATAACTGGTTTTGTTGCAAGATGCCCCCCAAGTTCTCCACTGCTGTGTTGCGCGAAATCCCTCTCCACGTTAAAATTTGTTCTAAGGCGTTTGAATGTTACTATCTTTATTTTTAATTTTGTTCAATTTTTTATATTGTTATTTTTTTTTAGCATGTTACTGTTTTTGTTAAACATATTACTATTTTTGTTGGACATATTACTATTTTTGTTGTACAATTACTGTTGTTATTTTTTAAAAATATTAATATTTTTTTTTATGTATATTTATATTACTCTTAAAAGACTACTAAACCCAAATTAGTCAAATTAACTGTTCAAGTGTACTTACTATGCATGGTGTCCAATTGTCAAGAACTGGTCGTTCTCTTTTGGCCCGCTCTGTAACTCTATGTATTCAATTTTTTTTTTTTTGATTCAAATATGTATTCTAAATTCAATTTTCATTCTCTATACAACAATTACTGTAATTTAGATGTTAGGCTCATATACTGTTAAAAACTTTAACTCAAAGCATTATATGTTTTTTCTAAGGTTAGATTTGAGGTAATCTATCCAAGTTGCACTCTTACGTGAGATTGATGTAATGAATTTCTCTCTACAATATGAAATTAGTGGCAACAGTCAATTAAAACAATGTTGAAAAAGAAGGGGCAAATTGTTAAAATTGGAACCTAGGAATTAGTTGAAAAATAGTCAAAGTTGAAGGGGATAATTTATAATTAACCCTTGGTTAAATTATAAAGATGGGCTATAAAAAAAAATCAAAATGGTATTCTGCTTAATTTGACCCCCTTTCTCTGTTGTCTCACTTAAAAACATAATTTAAAGACAAATTATGATAATACCCAAACTAACAGTTGCGGAACGAGACTATTACCGGCTGCCACTAGATATGGGCCTCTTTAACACCCATCTGCTCTCACTACCTCGCATCCTTTCCGTGCTCTACAATCCCTTGGCGGGAGATTTTCTTTTACACACTCACTCTCTCTCCAACGTCAGGGCTAGTATCGTGCTTCACAATACATCTCTCTCTCTCTCTCGGACACACAAACACACAGTGTTTCTAGGGCAAACATTATCCGGTTCACTGAAGGTGTAGTTCATGGAGGAAGAACCGGTGGCTTCCGAAACAGCGACTCGCCGCTCGGTTAGTTTTAGATCTTTCGTTTCTTGAGCTTTTTTTTTTGATTAATACTTTGTAGCCCTTTAGACCTAATCTTTGAGTGATTTGATAAGTAGAAAAGGACTAGGGCTCAGACTAGGACTGCTGAACATCAACCTAGCACGGCCAATGCCAAAGGCAGGAATGACCACGACAGAACCAGCGAAAATCAGGAGGAAAGAGAAGAATCTTTTGATGATTTTGACGAACCTCGCCTGAGAACTAAACGTAATCGAGCTACGGAGTCCGCTACAGTAGCATCTCGTAAAACAGATCAGAGCCTGATCGGTAAAATTTAACCTTACAATTCTGCTGTTTAGGTTAATCTTTAAGTACTTCAGGGACATTTATGTCCTTAAAGAACATTACTACTTTGGAGATATGTTAATTCATCGCTTGAAAGCTCAGAAGAACTGAAAAATAAGTTAAATTGATGGACGATTTTCATAAAGATACCCCGTAACGAATGTGCAAGTGGGTTTATGGGTTTAAATCACAATTAACAAAAGGTTGACTCGACTTGACGTACTTTACTCAGCGGTTAGTACCATTTTTTTAAAAAATATTTGACTCTTTGGGTGCTTCTCTGAATGAATTTATTGTTTCACTTCAATTTAAGCTAGGTGTTTTAGCACCTGTTTATTTCTCTGCATGTTTGCACTAAAATTTTGACATAAGTTTTAATGCATCAGTTAGTATCATATTGCTTGCACATCTGTAACATCAAGTCATCTGTAGTAGGTGAGCCAGCGGTGGGCTATGGCTTAAAGTCCTTTTCTATTATAAATTTTGAATCCTAGCACCCTCGGCTCATCTATGCTCCTCATGGAGTATTATATTATCGAGGATCTTTTTGAGGTTATGGTTTACAAATATTGACAAAA